TTCAGTTAATTAAAGGGCTCTATGTTCCAGGAAGCATTTGAAGCTGAATATCCAGTTTCATGATTCTCTTTGGCCTTTTTAAATGGGCAAGAAATTTGTTCTTCCCCACAGAAAATGACTTAAACTTACTCCTGCTAATAATACATGTTTCAGGCACACTCCTCCATTGATCCAGGGTCAAGATGGGAACTAACAAAAGGGACTAATGGAGCACAGAAACATAGGCATAGAGATCACTGGCCCCTGGGCTTCTAAGATGGTACAACTTGGGAGGGAGGGGCTGGGGATTTAGCTCAGCGGCAAAAGCGCCTGCCTGGCAAGCTCAAGGTCGTGAGTTCGGTTCCCGGTACCGGAGAAAAACCAAAAAACAAAAACAACAAAACTTGGGAGGGAGATGCACCAGGCTGGATGTACAGCAGCTGCTCCCCTCCAGTGCTGGAGGAACCAGAACTGTCCCACTCAACAAGTTTCCCAAGCACCTACTCTGCATCAGGTGCTGTGAGAAAGCTGTGGATAAGATGGGCTGGTCCGCCTCCCTCCTGGGATCCTACAAAATGATGAGTGCAATAGTTTGCATATGGTTGGAATTTGTCCCACGAAGGTTCATGTGCTGGAAATTTGACGTCTAGCATGGTGTTGAGGTGTAGAACCTTGAGAAGGCTGCATCTAGCGGACGATAGTTAGATCATAGGGAATTAACGCTGCCTCCTGGTGTGGGTTAGTTCCCACGGGAATGGCTTGTTATAAGACAAGTTTGGCTTCTGCGGCTCCCTCTCTTCCTTCTTGTCTTACCATGTGACCTCCTGCTCCCTCTTCCACTCATATTTCCACCATGAGATGTTATTACCATACAGCCCTCACCAGAGCTGAGCAGATGTTGGGCATACTCTCAAACCTCCGGAACTATGTGCTAAATGAACCTCTGTTTTGTCAACCAGGGTATTTTCTTTTACCACTCTTAGATATTTTGTTGTAGCAATGAAAAACAGACTAAGACCATGAAGACAGGCCAATCACCAGGACCCTACTTCATCTGTAGTGAGTGCTGCATATGGGTTGCTCCAGGAAGGAATTAAAGATGAAGTAATCAAAGGCCAAGGCTACCTCTGTACTTTGGTTTCTCCTCTGGGGCTGGTTGATTTGAAAGTCTCTATTTCTCATTCCAGACCAAAAAGCAGCCATCTTTTCTAGGGGATAGCATATGTTTTTCTTCACAATAATCACCCAAAGGAAATGTCCATAAATTTGGAGGACAGAAATTTTGTTTTGATTAGATTTCATTGTTGTTAGTTACACGAAGAAAGTTGTTTCTCTTAAAGATTGGCAAAAGTATACATAGTTCCTTAATACTAGGACTATTGCCCCAATTTTAATAGCATTATCAAGAAATAATCTACATGTTGTAAGTACACCTCTTTAATATATGGAATTCAATGTTTTTTGGTGTAATTACTGAGTTGAGCAAGCATCATTGTAATTTCATTTTATTTTTAAATTTTTATTAGTACATGTGTGCAGTGCAAAATATTACATTCACCGTTGCGAGTTGGTACATGTACATAATACACCTCAGTTATGTTTATATTCCTTACAATCTCATTTTAGAACCTGTTTATCCTCCAGCCAAAAGAAACCTTGTACCCATGAGCAGCGATTCCAGTAGCAACTACTCGAGCCCAGGTCAGTATGATTCTACCATCTTTATACATTTGCATATTTTGAACATTTCCTAAAAATGGAATCAACCAATATGTGTTCTCCTTTTAACCAGTTTCTTTGAATTAGCAAAATGTTTTTTGAGATCCATCCATGTAGTAGAATGCTTGAACACTTCATTTCTTTTTATTACCAAATAATATTCTATTGTGCCACATTTTTATTTATTCATTAATTGATAGACATTTCTACACTAGGACTATTATGAATAATAATGCTATAATATTCATGTACAAGTTTTGTGTGGATGTATGTTTCAATTATCTTGGGTAAATAGCTAGGAGCAAGCCTGATATAGTAATTATGATTAACTTTTTGTAGAACTGCCTAACTATTTTCTACAAGGACTGAATCATTATTTCTGAAATAAGGTACAATTTATCATCTATGTGCATATATAATATTTAATGGATCATCTTACATTTTAATTAACTATTTGTGATTAAATTAATGGTGTTCCTTAACATTAGCAGCATCCTAAAATAAGGGAAATATGTCATTAATTATTATTTGACTAATAAGCATACATTCTTTAATGCTCTCTTGATCTATGATAGAGGCATTCCCTTATTTTACAAATGAGGAACCTAAGCTTCAAAAACTTGGCTACCATTGTACAGTGGCAGGAGATCCACCCCTTGTTATCTGTGGGTGGCTGGTTCTAGGACCCCCTGCAGACACCAAAACCCACGATGCTCAAGTCTTTTGTATTAAATAATACAGTATTTGCCTTCTGCAATCCTCTCACATACTTTAAATCATCTATATGTGATGTTTAATATCAAATATAATGCTATATAAATATTCATGACACTGTTCAATACAGATGAATTTTTCCCTCAAATATTTTCAATCAGCAGTTGGTTGAATGCATGAACGTATATCCCACAGATAGAGAGGGCTGACTCTATCCACATTTGAACTTTGGTCAGTTTTCTACCCAAATCTGATTTTATACTTTTTATACTTTCATGTTATTGTTCAAAGATAAGCAAAGGGTAATGCAGCTTCTCTGAGCTCACAATGTCTGAGACAGATTAAGACTCAAACACTTGAGAATGAAGCGAGCTTCCCTTGTGGGACAAAATACCTAGCACATACACTTCAAGGGGGAGAGGTTTATTTTGGTCCAGGACTTCAGAGGGTTCAGTGCAAGGTCAACTGGCTCAAAGGCAGAAACATCATGGAGGAAGGGTACGGTGGAGCAAAGCTGCTCAGCTCATGGCATCTGGGAAATGGAAAGACAGGGAAAAGCCCAAGAAAGGATGCACCCTCCAATGGCATGACCCCAGTGACCCACTTCCTCCAACTCTATCCTATTGCCTTTTTTTTCTTATTTGAGTAGGAAAATTTATTGGCGAAAAGGAATGGGGAACAGGACTAGCTCCTGAGAGATGGGCGGGGTCTCAAATGAGTTGCCTCACTCTTCGCTCTTATTAGCACGTTCAGCTCTAGGCTCATCAATGGATTGGTAAGGTTAGTAGCCCATGATCTAATTATCTTCCAAAGGTCCCACTTTTGACTCTTTGTGGGATATTTCTCCCAAATCATAACATAAGCTATATTAAGTACTGAATAAATAGAACTGTAAACGTACTCACAAAAGTGCTGGAGGTATAGCTCAGTGTAAAAGCCTTGGGTCCAGTCCCAAGTACCACCAACCAACCAACAAACAAAAAGTACTTTGGAGGAGTCAGGGATTTTCTTGACACAGAGAATCTTGGAAGATACCTTGGATAAATGGGACTTAAGGTGGATCAATCTGGAAGGTCGAAAGAACATCTTAAGTCCATAAGACTGTGCCATCCCTTATTCTGGTCACTAGCCACACGAAGTTACTGAGCTCGTGAAAATTGTGGCTAGTTCGATTCTAGGAGAAGCTGGCCACTCCTCAACTGGGCAGACTGCTGAGAGACAGGAGGGTTGTTGCCCACCAGGGCAATTTTCCAGAAAGAGCTTCAGCGGTGCCCAGGAGGGGTGGTGTAGGACGAGTGGCTCTCGGGGGAAGAGAAGTACAGGTACCTAGGAACGAGGACGGTCAAGGACACATAGATGCAACGAAGTGCAGACTGTGCAGCCAGGTTGGGCACCCCCTGAAGGTGATGATCCTGCTGGCCCTGCTCCTGGCTCTGGGCCAGCCCCAGGTACAAAGGGACAGAAGGACCAGAAAGTAGAGCCCACTGCAGCATCACATCTAGGAATGACTTTGGGCGCAGAGCCCACAGAGCTGTGCCACTTCTCGAGTTTTGTAATGCTGTTGCCATAAAAATAGTCTCATGTTTTCACATGGTTTTGAACATGTTTTCACATGCTACAATTTTTGTCCTCTCCTTGAGATACTCACTCCTAAACTACCCAAGCTCTTTTGACTCAGAAAACCACACCCCTCTGATACAGGAACTGCAGTAAAGAGAACTTATGTAATTTCAAGGGACCAAACATTCTGGACCCAACTTTGAGAGAGCCAGCAAAAGGAGGCGCAGCTACTCTGTGCCTAACAGAACTCCTGTCGCCTCCCTGTGAGCTGCAGGGGCCCGGGCCACCTCTGAGGCGTGAACTCACTGCGCACTGTGGGCAAACCTTTGCATTAAACTTGCTTTCCACGGGGGGAATGTGGCTAGCCTGAAAGTACTATAAATCAGACTGCGTCCCAAAGACTTAGTATTAAATCAAGTAAAGTAGCTCACTAATAATTTTTATACTGAGTACATTTGAAATGATATTATTTTGGATATATTAGTTTAAATAAAAATATATTAATAAAATGAATTTTGCTTGTTTTTACCTCTAAAATATGGTAAATAGGATACTAAAATGAGGTATGTATGAGGCTGGTATTGTCTTCTTATTGTACAGCACTATTCTGAGATAAATATGGCAGAGAATATATGGAGCTGTTTGCTATCCTTGAAAAAGCCTGCAGGTGAAATGGGAAATAACCTAGGAAATAAGGCAGGGCCAAGCTGTTAAGGGCCCTGATGACCTGAAAAAGTGAGTGGTTAGAACTTCGGTCAGGATAAGAAAAAGAGTCAAAGGTTTTGAGAACAGGAGTATAAAACTCGGGTCTCTGTCTCAGGAAGTGTATTCTGGGACAGTCTGATCATTATCAATGACTGAGGTCAAGAGGATACACCAAGAACACCCTCACTCCCACTGTAAGAAATTCTTCCAAAGTCATAAAAATGCCAATCAAGCTAATGCAAGAAAACTCAGTCAAACTCAGAAGCAGGAAAGGGGACCCCTAACTGCCATAAATGGAAGGAACTAGTTGTTAGAGGAATAGGTCAAGAGGCTCCAGGGAGTCCAAACAGGATCCGGGATGCTGGAGCTGGAAGCTGGGGCTCGTATGCCTGTTGGGACAAGGAGCCCAGGTAACCACCCTGCACAGAAATGGACAAGAAGCCAACTCATATTAGTACATCTGTCCTTCCAACAGAGACAAGATCTGGAAAAAACAAAGTGAGGAGAAAAGTATCAGTATGTTCTAAAGACAGAACAGGAAGATAGGGAGATGATGGTGCCTGGGGAGTAAAGACAGTTTCAGAAAAAAAGAGGGGCCAGACCATGGTATCAAATGGTGAGCAGAAATAAAAGTGAAATGATGTTTCTGATGTGGTGATCATGAGGTTCCCCAAGACTTCAAAGACAGTAACATCCAGAGTGGCTGGAACAGAAGGAAGCAAGGAGCTGGATATGGTGGCACACACCTGAAATCCCAGCACTCAGGAGGATCAGGGGCAGGAGGATCACCTCAAGTTTGAGGCCAGCCTGGGCTACACAATGAGTTCAAGGCCAGCCTGAACTACACAGTGAGACCCTGTCTGTTACAGTTTGTGTCTAGATGTCCCTCCAAAGCCTCATGCAGTTATAGGGCTTTTTCGGAGTTGATTGAATCTAGAATGTGTGATTAACTCGTAGTCAATGCTGGGATTAAGGGTGGGTGATTACTGGATCAGTCCCCTGACTGGATGGGCTTGGCCCTAATCCCAGTAGACTGGATACAATAGAAGGGACAGAAAGAGGCTTGTCCCTTCTTTCTCACTGCTTTTGCTGTCTTCACCACCAGGAACAGTTGCCCTCTGCCATGTCACCCTGCCTTGGAGCCAGCCGATTATAGACTGAAACCTCTACGAACTGTGAGATAAATAAACCTTTCCCTCTTTAACTTTGGGTGTTAGGTATTTTGTCTCAGCAACGAGAAAAGTAAGTAAGACACTGAATCTCAATTCCTTCCCCCCACAAAAAAAAAACAATGAAGCAAGAAGCAGCAATTTCCAACTTCTCAGTGTGAGAAGTGAGAGAGGAGAATGATTCTGAAGATGAAGACAAAAAGCAGGATGGATAAAACAGCAGAGTTCAGGAGATGATGGCACAGAGGGAGCAGGAGAAGGAAGGGTGCCATCTTCCACCAGAGGCTTGGAATGAGACACACAGAGGCTGCTGAGCAGCCCTGGGGCAGGAGCACTGGGTGCGGAAGGGCATGTGAGGAGGCTTGACACTTGCCACTGGGAGTGAAAGGAAGGAGTGCTTGAGAAAGTTGCTGAATGGCGAGGAGCCTGCCTGCTCCTATTAGACTCCTACGAAACTCCTGCAAGCAGGATCTTGGCACTTTCCCTGGCAGAGCCTGGCATCAGAAGTTACTATGTACTAAATGCCCAAAAGCACCTGTGGAAGGTTGAAGAGGAGAAGCCCCAGCCAAGAATCCAGAATGGATGTGGGGAGATGACGCCAGACTAGAGGGACAAACAGGAGCCTGAGAGAGAGCAGAGGAATAGCAATCAGGCCACAAAAACGCAGCACAGGGCACAGCTACTCCAGCTTATAGTACAAGTGGGGCAAGTTCATGGTTCAATGATAAGTGCGAATTTTCTGTCATTTTTATGTACACCCAACACCTTTTTCATGAAGTAGATGATAAGCATTATGTCAGTTTATAAGTGGAGAAAAGTGATGTAGCCAGGTTTTCTTCAACCCTTTTGTTTTTCAATGTTCATCATTCCTGCAATTAACCTTTCTGGTTTTACTCTGCTGGGGATGAGGATGTGAAGACTATAAAAGAAGATGAGAATAGAAATTTTACTTAAACCCCATCCTGTAAGAGTTCACATTCAATGAAGGCAAGGCCTCTTTTAATAGGCAAACCAGGAAAATAGTCACTGGCCCTTTTGAAGAAAGGACTCTCTGACTTGGATCTAGGGTATTGCTCTATAGAAGAATCTCTGTTTCCATATGAGCTGTTTACAGTGTGTAAAGTTTGGAATTCTAGCAGCCTGGAGAATCGATGAAAAAAAGTGGTAGCTGAGGCCAAAGAACTCACAGGAAGCCCTGGTCAGGGTCCATGGGAACTTTCAAGGTTAAGCAGAAAATCCAGGTCATCTTGAAAATCAGCTTGACCTTCGCTGGCAGGGAGCACATGTCTGCCCAGTGAGTGATAAGGAACTGAAAAATGGACGGTCACAGTGACACTCACAATAGTCCCAGGAAAAAGATCAAAGGGAGGAAACAGAGACCCATTCAGTAGGGAGCAAGAACCACAAAATGCTCAGTGAAGGTACACAGGCTGAGAAATAATATCAAAAAATTATCTAGATAAACAAATACCTTCCCAATCTCTCTCTCATTTCTCTCTCTCCCTCTTTTCCCTTTTTAGGTACTGGGATTGAACCCACCCAAGGTCTTCGCTTTGAGCTACATGCAAGCCTTTTAAACTTTTTTAAAATTTTTAGATAGGGTCTTGCTACATCACTAAGCTGCCCAGGGTTTGAACCTGTGATCCTCAGCCTTTCAGAGTCCTGGGGTTACAGGTGTGTGGTACCACACCTGTCTTCTTTCTCCTTCTTGGATCCGTCCTACCTTTTGACATTTCTCTTTCCTCTTGTCTTTCATTAAATGAAAGGAAATATATACACCATGAGTTTACATAATATATAACAGGACATTAATCCCAAGTTGGTCCCAACTGTCTCAGAAGAAATAGCTTTGTTTCAGTAAGCAATAAATGGATCTGTGACCTATGATCCAGTTTTCAAAAATATTTATATCAAAATCACAATTTGTAACTAGCAACTGAAATTAACTAATTACAAATAAAAAATCAAATTAGTTTCAATTAGCCCAGGTAATGGAGTCTACCGAAGAAATAAATTTTTTAAAGCTATAATTAGCTTAAAAGGCATCTCACACCTGAAAATGCAGCAAAGCTCGCTGTATGGGAATCTCGTGGGGGACTCTGCACATTTTAAAATGAGGTTGGGCCACATCCACTTCAGATGCTCCTGAATGCTTTGGGGCCATCATTTAATGAGCTATAACAATAACTTGCTGCCTGTTCCACTGTGACTTCATGGAGATAATACCGCAGGTAAATAAGCAGAGGTCTGTAGAACTAGGTGATTAGGAATTGCAAGAAAAAAAAAACCCTTGAGTAAAAAGGCAATTCACTACTGGTGTTAAACAATAATGGTATAAATCACCAATATTATCTGAGCTAAAATTAGGTTATATGTCACTTTAGTATTGCAAATTACTTTTAGCAGTTCTTGAATACTTCCAGGGAACAATCGAAGTGGAATTTTTCCGTACAAAAATGCTGAGTTGCAAAAGAAGGAAGCATTTAGTATGAAGATGTAGGTGTCTATTTCTACTAGAATCTAATTAATTATTGCTCACATGATTGACTATAAATAGGCTGGCTCCATTTCTTCAGAACAACTGGATGGACATATAGCTGCTTCCAAGATTTAACTATTATGAATTGTACTGCTATAAACATGAGTATGTATGTGTTGCTGTAATAAGGTATCTTTAACTTTTTCAGAAAGATACTTAGCAGGAGAATAGCTATATTGAATAGAATTTCTGCTTTTAGGCTTTTGAGGAATCTCCACATTAATTTCCTTAGTGCTTGCACTAGTTTACATTCCCACCAACAGCATAGAAGGGTTCCTTTTTCCGACTGCCGTGCCACTATTTGTTATTTGATTTTTAAATGGTAGCCATTCTTTCTGAAGTAAAGTGGAATTTCCATGTTGTTTTAATTTGCATTTCCCTAATGCCCAGAGATACTGAACATTTTTCATGTATTTATTGGCCATTTGTACTTCTTCTGAGAAGTGTCTATTCATTTCAGTCGCCTATTTTTGATTGGATCTTTTATTGGAGATGATCAAATTTTTTGGAGTTCTTTGTATATCCTAGATACTAGTCTTCTGACCAAGTAATAGCTGGCAAAAAATTTTTCCCATTCTGTAGGTTGTCTCTTCACTCTGTTGGTTGTTTCCTTTTTTTGTGCAGAAGCCTTTTAATGTGATGTGATCCCATAAGCTGATTCTTGGTACTATTTCTTGTGCCTCTGGGGTTCTGTTCAGAAATTGTCTGCAAGCAGATTAAATGTTTCTATTTTAATATTTAGAACTTTGATCCATTTCTATTTTAGTTTAATATATAATGAAATATATGGTCTAGAGCCAATCTTCTGCATGCAGATAGCCAGTTTTCCCAGAACCATTTATTGAAGAGGTTATCTTTCCTCCAAGGTAGCCACTTTGTCAAAGATTGGATAGCTGAGTATGCCTCAGTTTATTTCTGCATCCTTTATTCTGTTCCATTAATCTACTTGTCTGATGTGTGTGTGTGTGTGTGTGTGTGTGTGTGTGTGTGTGCGCTAGTACCATGCTGTTTTTATCACTGTAGCTTTGTAATGTAACTTGAAGTCCAGGCTTTCTGCTTAGAGTAGCCCTAGATTGCTTTGGCTATTTTAGGCACAGAATTATTATTCTATGGATTTTCAGTTCAATATTATAGTCTGTGAAGGGAGAGAAGTCCAGCAAAGGGTATGATGTAGGTTCCCTGGGAAGAAGAAAGATGTTGAAGGAGAGCAAATGTGCTGTTGCTTTTTCAGAGATGAGACAGGTAAAGATTAAAATAATTATGACTGGTGCACTTGAAAAATCCACACTTGTAAATTTTTAACTGGTGATTATGCTGTGAATTTTTTATTTTTAAATTATTATTACTGTAGTGCAGAGCAGGGATCAAATCCCAGCCTCATTTGTCCTAAGTATGTGTCCTATCACTGAATACTTTTAAAGCCCCGAATAGTTTTTAAGTTTAAATTATCAGAATTTTTAAATAATAGGGTATTTTCATTCCTATCCAAAACTTGAAAGCATGCTTAGAGGTTTACTTTTCTGCTTAAGATAGAAGCTGCATTGTTTGAGAAAGAACCTGTTTCTGCAGAATAATGCTTTTTTCAGAAACAGAGTAAATGTTTTTCAGAGCAAATGATGTTATGAAAATATTAGCCTGATCGGCTAACCTGAAAATGTTAAACACCTGAACCCCACCTTATCTGCAAACAGCTCAGAAACTTACACCTTTT